CTTTCACAGTTTTCCCATAAGCAATCGATGTCATTCCCGAAGGACCACCCTGTATAATAATTAGGTGCTTTTTAGGTTCTAATTAGGGCCTCTAATTAAAAATTAGGTGCTCCTCTAGTTTTTGAGAAAATCAAAAAAAACTAAGGAATTGCTAGGTTTATGAAAGCTAGTAGTCCCCTATAGTGAAAAATATTTTTCCAAAAATTTCTTTTGCATCAGAATTAGGTGCTTTTTAGGTGCTCCTAAATAGTCGAAGAAAAAATCGAATTGATTAATTATTAACTGAGTTACAGATTTTTTTTTCTAATTATTAGGGGACTGCTGGCTTCACGTTTACATGTTGGTGTGTCAGAATGGAAAAAAACTTCGGGATCTATATAATAATTAGGTGCTTTTTAGGTTCTAATTAGGGCCTCTAATTAAAAATTAGGTGCTCCCTAGTTTTTGAGAAAATCAAAAAAAACTGAGGAATTGCTAGGTTTATGAAAGCTAGTAGTCCCCTATAGTGAAAAATATTTTTCCAAAAATTTCTTTTGCATCAGAATTAGGTGCTTTTTAGGTGCTCCTAAATAGTCGAAGAAAAAATCGAATTGATTAATTATTAACTGAGTTACAGATTTTTTTTTCTAATTATTAGGGGACTGCTAACTTCACGTTTACATGTTGGTGTGTCAGAATGGAAAAAAACTTCGGGATCTATATAATAATTAGGAGCTTTTTAGGTGCTAATTAGAGCCTCTAATTAAAAATCAGGTGTTCCTCTAGTTTTTGAGAAAATCAAAAAAAAAAAAATAAGGGATTGCTAGGTTTATGGAAGCTAGTAGTCCCCTATAGTGGAAAATATTTTTCAATTTTTTTTTGTATCAGAATTAGGTGCTTTTTAGGTGCTCCTATAAATAGTCGAAGAAAAAATAGAATTGATTAATTATTAACTGAGTTACAGATTTTTTTTTCTAATTATTAGGGGACTGCTAACTTCACGTTTACATGTTGGTGTGTCAGAATGGAAAAAAACTTCGGGATCTATATAATAATTAGGTGCTTTTTAGGTTCTAATTAGGGCCTCTAATTAAAAATTAGGTGCTCCTCTAGTTTTTGAGAAAATCAAAAAAAACTAAGGAATTGCTAGGTTTATGAAAGCTAGTAGTCCCCTATAGTGAAAAATATTTTTCCAAAAATTTCTTTTGCATCAGAATTAGGTGCTTTTTAGGTGCTCCTAAATAGTCGAAGAAAAAATCGAATTGATTAATTATTAACTGAGTTACAGATTTTTTTTTTTAATTATTAGGGGACTGCTGGCTTTACGTTTACATGTTGGTGTGTCAGAATGGAAAAAAACTTCGGGATCTATATAATAATTAGGAGCTTTTTAGGTGCTAATTAGAGCCTCTAATTAAAAATCAGGTGTTCCTCTAGTTTTTGAGAAAATCAAAAAAAAAAAAATAAGGGATTGCTAGGTTTATGGAAGCTAGTAGTCCCCTATAGTGGAAAATATTTTTCAATTTTTTTTTGTATCAGAATTAGGTGCTTTTTAGGTGCTCCTATAAATAGTCGAAGAAAAAATAGAATTGATTAATTATTAACTGAGTTACAGATTTTTTTTTCTAATTATTAGGGGACTGCTGGCTTCACGTTTACATGTTGGTGTGTCAGAATGGAAAAAAACTTCGGGATCTATATAATAATTAGGTGCTTTTTAGGTTCTAATTAGGGCCTCTAATTAAAAATTAGGTGCTCCTCTAGTTTTTGAGAAAATCAAAAAAAACCAAGGAATTGCTAGGTTTATGAAAGCTAGTAGTCCCCTATAGTGAAAAATATTTTTCCAAAAATTTCTTTTGCATCAGAATTAGGTGCTTTTTAGGTGCTCCTAAATAGTCGAAGAAAAAATCGAATTGATTAATTATTAACTGAGTTACAGATTTTTTTTTCTAATTATTAGGGGACTGCTGGCTTCACGTTTACATGTTGGTGTGTCAGAATGGAAAAAAACTTCGGGATCTATACCGGGTGGTCCTCCGGGAATGACATCGATTGCTTATGGGAAAACTGTGAAAGGTAAAAATTTGAAAATTTGGCAACATAGCAATGTCGATGGGGGACATCTAGGTAAAATATTTTCAAGATGGCGGCATTTCCGGTCATACCGGAAGTTGATACCAACTCGGTTATTTTAAATAGAACACCCCATATATTAATGTATTTTTGGATTCTACATAAAATTCTGAGCAGATTTCATGTAATATACCCTATACCTAAGTTCAACTGTTTTGGAAATATTGACAGTTGAAAATTGACTTTTTGCAACTTTGACAAGCTGTAAAACCTAATTGGTTAATTTTAGAGGAAAACCGATTTCACATTCCTATCTTAGATTTTGATAAACTATCATTTGACACCAACTTTGAACTTAAACGGAGATTAAATTTAACTGAAATTTTTAATCATGGATTTAATTCAAAGTTGATGTCAAATGATAGTTTATAAAAATCTAAGATAGGAATGTGAAATCGGTTTTCCTCTAAAATTAACCAATTAGGTTTTACAGCTTGTCAAAGTTGCAAAAAGTCAATTTTCAACTGTCAATATTTCCAAAACAGTTGAACTTAGGTATAGGGTATATTACATGAAATCTGCTCAGAATTTTATGTAGAATCCAAAAATACATTAATATATGGGGTGTTCTATTTAAAATAACCGAGTTGGTATCAACTTCCGGTATGACCGGAAATGCCGCCATCTTGAAAATATTTTACCTAGATGTCCCCCATCGACATTGCTATGTTGCCAAATTTTCAAATTTTTACCTTTCACAGTTTTCCCATAAGCAATCGATGTCATTCCCGAAGGACCACCCTGTATAATAATTAGGTGCTTTTTAGGTTCTAATTAGGGCCTCTAATTAAAAATTAGGTGCTCCCTAGTTTTTGAGAAAATCAAAAAAAACTGAGGAATTGCTAGGTTTATGAAAGCTAGTAGTCCCCTATAGTGAAAAATATTTTTCCAAAAATTTCTTTTGCATCAGAATTAGGTGCTTTTTAGGTGCTCCTAAATAGTCGAAGAAAAAATCGAATTGATTAATTATTACCTGAGTTACAGATTTTTTTTTTAATTATTAGGGGACTGCTGGCTTTACGTTTACATGTTGGTGTGTCAGAATGGAAAAAAACTTCGGGATCTATATAATAATTAGGAGCTTTTTAGGTGCTAATTAGAGCCTCTAATTAAAAATCAGGTGTTCCTCTAGTTTTTGAGAAAATCAAAAAAAAAAAAATAAGGGATTGCTAGGTTTATGGAAGCTAGTAGTCCCCTATAGTGGAAAATATTTTTCAATTTTTTTTTGTATCAGAATTAGGTGCTTTTTAGGTGCTCCTATAAATAGTCGAAGAAAAAATAGAATTGATTAATTATTAACTGAGTTACAGATTTTTTTTTCTAATTATTAGGGGACTGGTAACTTCACGTTTACATGTTGGTGTGTCAGAATGGAAAAAAACTTCGGGATCTATATAATAATTAGGTGCTTTTTAGGTTCTAATTAGGGCCTCTAATTAAAAATTAGGTGTTCCTCTAGTTTTTGAGAAAATCAAAAAAAAAAAAATAAGGGATTGCTAGGTTTATGGAAGCTAGTAGTCCCCTATAGTGGAAAATATTTTTCAATTTTTTTTTGTATCAGAATTAGGTGCTTTTTAGGTGCTCCTATAAATAGTCGAAGAAAAAATAGAATTGATTAATTATTAACTGAGTTACAGATTTTTTTTTCTAATTATTAGGGGACTGCTAACTTCACGTTTACATGTTGGTGTGTCAGAATGGAAAAAAACTTCGGGATCTATATAATAATTAGGTGCTTTTTAGGTTCTAATTAGGGCCTCTAATTAAAAATTAGGTGCTCCTCTAGTTTTTGAGAAAATCAAAAAAAACTGAGGAATTGCTAGGTTTATGAAAGCTAGTAGTCCCCTATAGTGAAAAATATTTTTCCAAAAATTTCTTTTGCATCAGAATTAGGTGCTTTTTAGGTGCTCCTAAATAGTCGAAGAAAAAATAGAATTGATTAATTATTAACTGAGTTACAGATTTTTTTTTTAATTATTAGGGGACTGCTGGCTTTACGTTTACATGTTGGTGTGTCAGAATGGAAAAAAACTTGGGGATCTATATAATAATTAGGTGCTTTTTAGGTGCTAATTAGAGCCTCTAATTAAAATTAAATTAAACTCCATACACTTAATTATTCTCAGATTTACCACAAATTGCTTAACACGATTTTATCTCAGGAACTATAGGTGCAAATGAGCTGAAATTTTCAGGGATTGTAGTCCTTTGAAAGGGATAAAATTCAGTGAAAGTTTCAGCTTTCTATCTATAATAGACAAAAAGTTATGACCTTTCAAAGTTTTCCAAAATCTAAATCATAAGGTAGGTACCTTTTTACTAAAACGATGAAATTTCAAATTTTTTTTTGTTAGGTTTTGTATGCGTGAGTTTTTGACACAAAAGGTCTGTATGCCATCCCTGATAGGATACATACTCTCACCTATTACAGCAATTTCAAACTTGCAGAATTCATGAATTGGAAATTCTTTTAGAATATAAATCAAGCCAGTTGTTCATATGATATACTTAGAAAAAGCTTAATGCTTTTTTCTACATTTTGATCCTTGAAAAATCATAAAATTCCTGTGAACATAAATACTTTGAACCCTCACAAACTTCAAAAAAATCATAAATTGGGGATTTTTAACAAAAATTCAAGTTAACTATTTGCAGGCATTTAGACAACAAGCTGATTGATTCAAAAACAAATATACGTATTTTTTCTATATAAATATTTATTACATTTGGGAAATACGAAAACGTGTTGGCAAACACTGATAAAATCTGCCTTTGAAATTCTACATCAAATACTGCACTTTATTTATTCATGAGCCAGCCAGAAAAAAAAAACATTGTATGACGTGTCCCATAAGCATTTGCATTTTTTATTAATAAAAAAATCTTACCTGTAGCTCCCAAGAGCGTCATATTACATTCAATACTGCTAAAACTCTCCCGAATTTTCTTATCAACATTGTCCACTGCCATTTCGGCGTCCTGATGTTTCCTGAACCACTCGTTGTATTCTTGTTGACTCAAGACCCTTTTCGCCATGACAAGCACCCTTAAACCCTCCTTGGCGTAATTATTCAAATGCAGTTGAGTTTTATCCAAAATAAACGCCTTTTCTGAATCGTCTTCGGCTGGAATTAAATGGGGAAACATCGAAGTGTCTGCGCCCTTACAATATAAAACAATTTCGTTGGTCTGAGGGTGTCTGACAATGACCGACATTCGCTTTCTTGTCGAGTCAAATGGTAAGACGTATAAGATTTTGAACGCCATTTTTCCTCTGTTGGGTACTTCAACAGTTACTTCTGTAGGGGTACGTTTCAGGAGCCTGCATTTGTAAATATAAGCTGCATCGACTAGGGCTAATTCATCCGGACTTTCTGCTTCGTATATTGGCTTTAAATCACCAGGGGATGGAGTATTGGTTTGGCTCAATTTAACTTTTTCTTCGTCGGTCAAATTCGTGTTGCTATTATTCCTCCTGCCCAGAAATCCTATACTGGGAAGGCTTAATAGTTTCGGTCTCAACGATCTTGAGCTACCTTGACTTTGTAGAGAATCCGGCGAATTATCAACGGAATCGATTGGACTCAATGAGGAAACGTGAGCTTTTGTGTAAGTGTTTAGAGGCGGCGAAGGGGTGACTGAGCGAGATTCTTCTAGTCTTGTGTATTTGTCATTAGTGGGACCAGGTTTCGGCGCTACTGTTGTTATTGTATCTTCACTTTCTGCTAATATGTTTGGAATATCTTCGATTATACCTGGAATAAATCAATAATAATTTAACAATTTTGAATTGGGGGGTAAACAATGAAGTAGAAAGAAGATTTGGCATGGGCTTTGCGTTATTCAATTGATTCCAGCTAGTTAAGACAAAAAAATTATTGGATCTCCCATATCTCTTACTCTAACCCTGAATGAGATAATGCTAGTAAGGGCAGGAAATTCTCACGGATCTCTCCTGTTCTCTCACTGCAAATATATGTATTGAGTAGATAGGCAAAGAGCTATTTCAACCTTCTTACTACTTCATGGAGGGTACCGTAAGAAAAAGCTCCCAAATTCAGTTTGAAGTTTCAAATTAACTTTTCCACAAAAAAGAAACTTCAATTCATAAATCCTGAAAGTTTCAAGTCACTGTGATCATTAGAAGTTTTTGCACAAAAGATTTTTGTAAAGGACTCCGCACACCTCTTATGGGTATTTGGTTTTCTGTCAAACTCAAATGAAATTCTGATATGTGTTAGACCTTGACTTCCTGATAACCGTTAATATAACTTAATATACCAGGATGGACATGAATCCTTACGCTCAGGTTACAGGTAATGTCTGCCCAGCGACTCTGTGTCTACGGGGCAACGGTAAGGGGAATGCAGTTGTAAAAAAAAATGGCTGATTTCATTCATAAAATACCCAGCTGCGTGCGGAACTTTTTGGAAGTATAATATATCGTATTGCAACTCGTACACCAAAATCGACAATGACCAAACCGTCGCCACTGAATATTTCAATATAAATCGATATTCCAAGATGGGAGGATAAAATGACAAGAGCCCTGGCCAATAGCGAGACGTAAGGTGACGTTAGCCCACTGACAATTGCATGATTGCCCGTGGCAATGGCAATCCTGCCAAAAACTCCACCAATCACTAATCAGGTTCATCCAGGCCGGATCCTTGCCAAATTGTCAAAAGCTGATGGATTCTTTAGGAAATGTTTATTTTTTACAATAGACAAAATTAAAGAAATCAGTTATTAAAATAAGCATAGATCTAACAACCACGTTGAAATATTTAGCGTTTCATTGTTATCTACATTTTGTTATTAAAAAATGGATTTTCAAATGAACTATACTTCATGCCTAGCCTAGTATTCTCGCTTTTTTTATAATTAAACGTGGCAACATCGCACATTTACGTCCGAATTCCTTTCGTAGACTCAGATCCGCTGGGCAAACAATAGATGGCATATTAAAATGTGTACATTGGAAATCATTGCAATTCAAGTGGTTTTATCATGAGGTAAGTATCGCTTTAACTTCTACTAAATGAATAGTCTATTTCCAAGATTTTGACAAGATGTCATTTCGTTACAGATAAGAATAAGGAGTCGAAGTTTTAGGGTCATGAAAAATGTAGGCATCTGCCACGTAAGATATTTTTGAACTGTAACTGTGGGGCTGAAAATCTGTAGCCCAAAACTGGAGGACAGAAACTTCGACTCTTTGTTATGTACAATATTTACACCTTATTTACATTTTACACGGGAATAAGATGGCTATAGGCCAGAGCTTATGTTATGTTTAAGATGGCACAAAAGCAGAGCTGTATTTTTATACAATGAATGATAAAAACTTGAAACTTGGAGGAGCTCCTCCAAAACGTTGTTTTCTTTATGAAGGTTGGAAGAGAAGAGGCTGAGGCAATGGCTGAGGTGACTTTTTTGCTTGCCTTTTTTCCTCCACTCTTCTTCTCCCACATTGCACGACAGATGACAAAATAAAAAATTTAACTTAATAGGTTCGTTCCAACCCAGCCAAAAACCGTTCAATGTACGGTCACGGTCATGCGCCATAGGTTAAACGCGTTCCAACCGAGAGATGATCGTTTACCGTACAGTTTCGTTGGCGTTCCAACCAAACCTGGGATCGTTCGAGAACTGGTTTTAGCACCGTCATTTCGATCCCGAGTGGAAAGCAAGAACCGCGTGGACTGATCCATGACTGACATGCGTAATTCAATTTTTGTCACCTGTTGTTATTGTTCATGTTGTTGTTAAACAACCAATTTCCAATCTAACTTATAAAACTGTAGCATTTTCATTTTTTCAAGTGAAAAAAAGTACAAAATTTATTATCAGCTATTTGCTAATCCTTGATATTATCAGCTTGCAAGGATTCAGTTTCAGATTCTTGATAATGAATCAGCGTTGGTGTTCGATTTTCCTTTTTTATATATTAATTTATAAACCTAATCCTATATTCTTCTATTTTAATTTAAAAACAAACAAATTTAGGGTTAAAGTTATTTGAACTGTCGTCATTACGAAAACGGTCATGAAACCGTTCCAACTACCTGTTGTTTCTCTACCATATAAAACCGTGCAAGGTCAACGCATGCGCCTGCAATCGATCCTAACAGTTCCGAAACCGTTTCATGACGATACGAAAACGGCGTGTTGGAACGAACCTAAATGAATTGCGGTTAGAGAAACAGAGAGCGACAACTAGACTATTGGATACGTTTCCGACATGTTGGGGGGCCTAAGAATTTTGCAATGAAACTCCAGACAATTATTTCAGTCTTCAAAAGGCAGAAATTAATTTTCAAATAAAATTAGAATGCTAAATTCTTTAAAATAAATCTGTTGAAAAATTCTTAAGCTAGGAATATGAAAGTCTTAATTTTTGTTAAATATAAACAATATAAATTCAATGAATACAAAATTCAACTTATGAGAAGGTGAAACACCAATAATTTGAAGGAAAAATTCTGGGAAAAATATACAAATGTTACAAGATTTAGAAAGTATAGAAAATTAAAACTATAGGATTTACAAATATAAATATATACAGGATGAGTTACTAAGCGCGCGGTGGTCCATATCTCCTATACTAACAGAAATCGAACTAAATACAAAACTTGTAGATAAACATGAGTACTACATTCCTAAATAATTTTCCAGTATACAGGGTGGCCTAATAAGTAGTAGTGACACAAAGTTATGTTTTTTTAAATGACTACCCCTGTATATTATGACATTTCTGGATTCTGCGGAAAATTCTAGACATATTTCATGTACAATGTCATATACCTATCTTCAACTGTTTTGGAAACATTGACAGTTGAAAACTGACTTTTTTGCATCTTTGACAGACTGTAAAACCTGAACGGTTAGTTTTACGAGAAAACGGATTTTACATTCCTGTTTTAGTTTTTCATAAACTATCATTTGACACCAATCTTGAATTTAATCCATGATTAAGAATTCCCCCAAAATTATTAATCTTCAGTTAAATTCAAAGTTGGTGTGAAATGATAGCTTATGAAAATCTAAGATAGGAATGTGAAATTCGTTTTCCTCTAAAATTAACCATTTAGGTTTCACAGTCTGTCAAAGATGCAAAAGAGTCAAGTTTCAACTGTCAATATTTCCGAAACAGTTGAAGATAGGTATGACATTGTACATGAAATATGTCTAGAATTTTCCGCAGAATCCAGAAATGTCATAATATACAGGGGGGGGGGGGGTCATTTAAAAAAACATAACTTTGTGTCACTACTACTTATTGGGCCACCCTGTATACTGGAAAATAATTTAGAAATGTAGTACTCATGTTTATCTACAAGTTTTGTATGTAGTTCTTTCTTCGATCTCTGTTAGTATAGGAGATATGGACCACCGCGCGCTTAGTAACTCACCCTGTATTATACAGCATAGTATAATAATTAATTATTAATAAACATTTCATAAGATGAGAGCTACTCAATATTTACAAAATTTCAAAACAAGATGTCTCTATTGATCAAAATTATTGTCATCAATTGGCAAAATAGCAATTTTTGTCACGGATCTCAAATAAACACCTTTTGCAGTTCTAACTTCAACAACGCGTACTTTGTTATCCTTACCCGGTATGGTTTCAGTTATACGACCCATTGGCCATCTGAAAGATGGTACATTATCTTTTCCCAAAATTACCAACATAATGCAACATACCTTCCTTCAGATTTGGCATTGTCTCACGCCACTTTGGCCGGTTCTGCAGTTGCGTTAAATAGTCACGGTGCCATTTATCCCAAAAATGCTGCTTCATCTGTACACACAACCGCCAAAACTTTAATCTGTTTGATGGAATCTCGGTTAAAACAGGTTCAGGGTAACTAGTGATAGGTGCTCCTATTAAAAAATGACCCGGGGTTAAGTAATCATAATCTGAATGTTTTTTGGATAGTGCAACAAGGGGCCTGGAATTCAAAATTCCTTTCACTTGTATAATCAAAGTATTAAACTGCTCATAAGTAAACTGGGTGTCGCCGACGACTCGCTTAATATGAAATTTAGTGCTTTTGACGGCAGCTTCCCACAAGCCACAGAAAACTGGTGAGTAGCTGGGGATGAAATTGAACTGAATTTTTTCACAAAGACAATATTTTTCAATATCTTCCTTTTCCTGATGGTAGAACTCCTTTAGTTTGTTTGCAGCGCCCTTGAAGGTTGCACCATTGTCACAAAAAACATTTGTGGGCTTCCCCCTCCTGGAAATGAAGCGTTTAAAAGCTGCCATAAAATTTTATGTCGCTAAATCTGACTCAATTCCATGTGGATAGCCTTCACGGAGAAGCAAACAAATAGAGCAATGTAGACCTTGGAAGTTATTGTTTTTCAAATTCGTGACTGTTTGATGTTAAATGGACCACAGAAATCCACACCTACATTTTGAAAGACTCTGGAAGAGCAAATCCGCTTTTCGGGCAGAGAACCCATAAGCTGTGAAGAACACTTCGCTTTGAATTTGAAACAGATAACACATTTGTGAATCAATTTCTTGACTTCCCTGATTCCATTAACAATCCAAAAATTCATTCATTCATTCAACGAACTCAAAACATGCCTAGGACCTGCGTGCAGCAAATCCAAATGCTCCCTCAAAATAATCAAATCAGTGACATGGCTTTCCTTTGGCAGAATAACAGGGCGTTTTTGATTGTAATGAATGTTAGCGTTTTGTAATCTACCTCCGACTCTTAATAAACCATTA